GCTTAAAATTCTTGTGATAAGTTTGGTGTACCAGTTAAAGATGTGTAGCAGTAAATAACTTACGAGTATGTTCATTTCTATATGGTTTTTTTTCATTTCAAACCCTCTGTCAAGACCAAAAAATACTTACCTGTTGGCCAACATTTGAACCAACCACCACTCTGTTAATGACATAATTCTTATTGGTGTTTAAACCAAAAAGACGACAGAAAAATAAAAAAGCGTCCTGAATCAGTATTTTAAACATTAACCCCATATGGTATGATCTTCGTCCTTAAACTAAAGTATGTCTAGAAAATCTTAGATAATTCTGTTTTGAAACGAATTTCTCTGTTCATATATTAATAGCTTTTTAATTCCTGTTACTTTATTAAAACTGTTTTATCTCTTATTTTTCATATCTATTATTTTTATGTTATATATATTACTGAAATTCATTTCGAATTTTTTTATATTAATATTCCATTTTTCCAAGTTCATTGATCATTAAGTGCTTTTGTTAATATATATCCCAGTTGTTCTGGACATTCCTTCTTGCACAAACACATATTTGTGTAATCATATTCCAAAGCTAATCCTGCTTTTTTATCTCCCACCACTTGCTCATCACACACACAACGCTTTATTTCAAATTGGTTCATTTATGACTAGCTATCAGTCCCTGGTTTCATACCGCAGTATTCTATGACTAGCTACCAGTCCCTGGTTTCATACCGCAGTATTCTACGACTAGCTATCAGTCCCTGGTTTCATACCGCAGTATTCTTTGACTAGCTATCAGTCCCTGGTTTCATACCGCAGTATTTTATGACTAGCTATCAGTCACTGGTTTCATACCGCAGTATTCTATGACTAGCTGCCTGTCCCTAGTTTCAAACCGCTGTTCTCTGACTAGCTGTCAGTCCCTGGTTTCATACCGCTGTTCTATGACTAGTTGTCAGTCCCTGGTTTGTTTGTTTTTTAGTTCCATATTAAAATATTAAAAACACGTGCTCCCTGTAAATGTGTGATAAAAACAACCAAACATGAGGACTTGTTTAAATCCTTGTTTTCTAATTAGTTATACAGTATCAGATATAACACGTGATATTCCTATAAGCATGCACGATCAGCAATAAAGTGATCATCATAAAGAAACCAAGTGCTTTAACAAAGTGGACTTTCCTTCATCAGGGGTAAACAGCAAATGACAACAGTTATGTGGTCGTTCTACCACAAGTGATACGTCATATGTTTCGAAGAATTACCGCAGTATTTTATGACTAGCTATCAGTCCCTGGTTTCATACCGCAGTATTCTATGACTAGCTACCAGTCCCTGGTTTCATACCGCAGAATTCTATGACTAGCTACCAGTCCCTAGTTCACATCGCAGTATTCTATGACTAGCTACCAGTCCCTGGTTTCATACCGCAGTATTTATGACTAGCTATCAGTCCCTGGTTTCAAACTGCAGTATTCTATGACTAGCTACCAGTCCCTGGTTTCAAAGAATACTGCAGTTTGAAACCAGGGACTGGTAGCTAGTCATAGAATACTGCAGTTTGAAACTAGGGACAGGCAGCTAGTCACAGAATACTGCGGTATGAAACTAGGCAACATGTTTGAAATTTTAGTGATGGCAGAAAAATATCTTTCAATCGATATCTTTCTCAAAGCTTTAGCTTTTTTGACTGTGCCAGAGTAATTGTGGATATGAGGCAATTTTCCGTCGTTTATACTAAACTATCTTTAGTATTGCCATGACTTATGCAAGTTGTAGAAAGGCCGAAACTGAAGTATGGTACATACAATCAAGGATACCTGTGTTTTAAGGGAAGAGTATGTACATATTGTATGCTTATAAGAAATGTGTATCACCTGTTGCAACCTCTTTATTTATTCAATTCTTCGTGTATACATATGTTTTTCCACCCACAATAGTTTTATTTCAGCATGTTCAAACGATATCAATGCATCAAATTCTGTTTAAAATGACAAGTGAAAAACACGAACTATAATTATTAACTTGTACTTTTATAGTTCCATGCTACATTTGAAACCCAACTATAACACAAAGTATAATCATTAACTTATACTTTTATAGTTGCACGCTACAGTTGAAACCCAAGTATAACACAAACTATAATCATTAACTTGTACTTTTATAGTTCCATGCTACAGTTGAAACCCAAGTATAACACAAACTATAATCATTAACTTGTACTTTTATAGTTCCATGCTACATTTGAAACCCAACTATAACACGAACTATAATTATTAACTTGTACTTTTATAGTTCCATGCTACATATGAAACCCAACTATAACACAAACTAAAATCATTAACTTATACTTTTATAGTTGCACGCTACAGTTGAAACCCAAGTATAACGCAAACTATAATCATTAACTTGTACTTTTATAGTTCCATGCTACAGTTGAAACCCAAGTATAGCACAAACTATAATCATTAACTTGTACTTTTATAATTGCATGCTACAGTTGAAACCCAAATATTTTATTTTCAGTTTTATCTTTTCTCAACCGTTTGGGGAAAATCTGTCTTCTAGCTGGCAAGTTACGTAAACAGTTGTTAGTGTTAATATGTGGCTCACTAAAGAAAGATTTCTGTACGAGTGTGTTTGTAAGGTGCCTGTATCTGCATATTTAACTAAAGAACGTGAGGTCGTTCCGTACTTGTTTGGTATGTTGTTTTTTCACATGCTTCACCTTAACGATCAGTTGCAGAATATTTAGCCTTGTGACTTATTAGCCTAGTTTTCTTTGTGTGTTAACCCAATCTTTTTAGCATTTCTGTT